ATTGGGCTGACGCCACACTGTCCGGCGTGTCACTTTGATTGGATTGTGTGGGACTGCTCGCCAACACCATCAAACGAAGCAGGCCGACGACTTCCCGTATTTAAATGCCATCTTGCACGCACGTATTTTTTTTACTTGTTCAGTTGACGTGCACCCGAGCAGCGAGGGATTTGGAACTATGCGTGCGTGGAACTTGTCCTGCCATGTGGACTGCGGGCAACACCGAGGGGCTGCCACTTTTACTCCGCAGAGCTGTTGTGTCTCTTCGCAGGGTTGTCAGGGGAATTCCATGCAGCCAGCTACTGCTGTTGTGTGCTTGGATGTCACTCCATGCGAATAATGTGCTTCAGTGAGTGAGGGTGTTGATTGGGTTTGTGTGCACTCTGATTCTGTTTGCTGCCTTGTGCGGGCACGCAACACTTGAGTGGTGGTAAAATGGAGCGGGGCGATGCGTGGCCGCGTGCGGACCAACTTTTTGTGCACGATGGTGTGGTGCACATTGTGGTGCTGACTCTGCGATGTGACTGCGGTCTCCTGTGCGACAATGGCGGTGGGTGGAGGAGAGTGTTGACCCGCGGCGTGACGGTGGGATCGTGCCTCTTTTTCTTTTTGTTTCTTTGTGAAGGTGTGCACTTATTACTAGTGTTAGTGATGGGGCAAACAGACGGACAAAGTGAATAAAACAAAACAGAAAAGGGCAATAATGTGGCGGTGTTGTTGCCAATTGCACGTTGTTTTGCTGCGGAGGCGGTGAGCCTTGACTGCTTCACCGACAGGCGTTGCAGTGCGGCTGCATGGCGCACTGACCACCCTGCCGTGCGAGTGCCACGCCCAACGCCATTGGGACTGCGGGACGAAACAGCCGCGAGTGTCCTTTGGAGCCAGCGGCACCTGTGTTGGCTCCGACGCTACAGCTCGACATTTGGTGGGGAGTAAAGAGTGACTGCCGTGGACTGTTGACAGTCTGGTGGAAGATCTAATGCTGGACGGAGCTACTCTCAGCACCAGCTTGAAGCCTAATATTTTTTTTGAATTGTATTGGCTCCATGACGACCGTTGATGAAAGACTACAATGCGACGGGGGAGATGTTTATTCGGAGACTCGATGCTTACGTAAAAGGCCAGCAGCTTCTTGAAGGAATTCTTAATTTGACAGACTACCAGGTGTACAAACTTCTTCACGAGGGTGTGTTCTTTCTTCGTCAATGGAGGGACTATGAGAGGAAGGACACGATCAATTTCCGGGCAATGCAAAAAATTGATTCAGCCCTTGGAATGCCAGACGGATACTCGGAGCAGCGAAAAAAAAAATCCACCCTTGTAACTAAGACTGAAGATGTACTGTCTAAAAGAAAAGTTCGTGTCATGGACCGAAAGCTGAATGAGCTTCTTAATAGGAGATTTGATGGCAGGGGCTTTGTGGACGCCAATCGGAAATTCTTGCAGGAGGGGTTTTTAAGGACCCCGAGAAGTATATTTGCGATGCGGGAGTATTGGGCGAAATGCAGGCATCCGATCGTTATGTGATGATGGAGAGGGCTGCAAGGGATGAAATGGATATGGAAGAGGATGTACACAAGCTTTGCGAGCATTGCATGGAAAATTTACTGAGGTGGTTGGTGGCGGCTGCGGGGGTAAAGGCAGGTGTTCATTGCATCACTAATGAGTTTTTGGATGCAGCTGCCGAGGAAGCGAGGAACCCAGCGAAGTCGAGCGCACCGAGGTACCTGGAGGGATGCTACGAGTCTGTGTACAATGCGAGGTGGAGCAATGTGGTGGAGGTCCCTGATGGCGAGGGGATGGGAAAGGATGTGAGGGAAGAGGAACCACCACAGCCATGGACGTACAGGGCAGTTGGCGACTCTCTCGAAAAGGATGACGGTGTGGAGCAATCCGGTGCAGCACGTCCCAGGCTGATGGTGCTCGCCTCGGACGAGGGATGGCCGTACTCGTGGAAGTGGAAGGAGAATAATTCCACTCGTGACTGCTACGTGAACTGTGAGGTGGATCGAGTGTGGCAGATCGTCAAGGGCGATCTCACCGAATGGCTCAGCAGTCACGGTCGAACCGACTTTACGCCCAAGCGGCGTGTGTTGATTGGGACGCCCGGGATCGGGAAGTCGATGAATGCCGGTTCATGCCTCCTCTACCAGCTGCTGCAATACGACGTCGAGAAACTCCCAGTGGCTGTCTACAGTGTTGGTGGAAGTACGACGTAAGTGTCTGACGAGACCATCAAGACGGTGTCGGAATAGAGGAGCAATACAACGTCCAAGAGAGTTTTGTATGGTTTGTGGTGGCGTGGGATGAAGGGGTATATCATATAGGATGTGACAGAGGAGGGAACAGCGCCAGCGAAAGGTTTTGCGTTTTTTGATGAATGGGGCATGATTGTGGTGTCATCCCTAGAGGTTAGGAACTATGGTGAATGGGTGAGGCAAGTAAGAGCCGAACGAATCATCATGAATTGCCCCGACGGGATGGATGTGAAGGCGATGTGTGCATGGATGAAGCGCGGTGGGACTACAGATGGGCAAGCGGAGTACTGGAAGATGGTTGAAGAACGCATGTATCTTTTGGGATCGATTCCACGTCACGTCTTTGATGCGAATGAGTTCATTGCGCACTCTGCTGCCATTGAGGATGCCTTGGATGGGATCAATTCTCGGGATGATGAAAAGCACTTTACGCATGGGGGAGTGAGACTGTGGTATTCTGAGAATGCGTCTCAAAAGCTCGTGAGGATTGCCCGAGCAAGAGGAGAAGTCGGTGCTGAGGTATTTCTGAACGCACCGATATCTGTTTGCCTCGAGCGTCGAATACCGCACTATTTTGGGAAACGTGATGAGTGAGAAAGGTATTTTTTTCTGTTGCTAGTATTGGGGGTGAGAATACTCTTTTGTCTGAATGTACGGGAGGGTTTGGCTTGCGCGCATTAATGTTTTGGGGGATTTTGTCGGTGCATGAGTAGAGGACGTTAAGGAGCTGGGGCCACCAGCACGTCGTGGAGGAAAGCACGCAGTGCTGAAGGCAAATTCTGAAGGGCGCCCCGCCGAGTCTTATGTGGAGTGGTTGCAATGGAATACCGTACAAATACTAGTATAAAGCATCGGCTGCTTGCACACCGGAGACGAAGAACTTTCCACTGGTGGACCCCTTTTTTCCTTGTGAATTCACGACGGAAGACGCTGGTTGGGCTGCGGATGACTACGGTGGGTGGGCACCACACGATAACCAGCACTGTGAGGCAGTTCACTGAGTGCCTGGCGGAATATTTTGAGGGTTGGGAGGAGTTATCCCGAGACCTGTCGTGGGAGATTATTTATGTGCAGCACGCAGACAGCACGCCGATGAATGACTGGCCGAGGTGTCATGTTGTCAATTCCAATAATGTGAGCGACGATGAAAGCCGTGAAACAGCGGCGTTTTGGAAGGAAAAGGTACGCCAGTACCAAGTGTCAATATCATCCGAAGACTTTTGAAGAGACGAAGCTCACCGAAGAGGGGAATAACCGTCGAAATAGGAAAACAAGTTGGGGGGGGGAAGAGGCAATTTTGATTTGTGGTAAAAAACACTGTGGGATTTATATATTTTTGGATAGTTTTGTGTGCATGCGGTGCGGGTGCACCAGCACCAGGTGACATTATTACAAAAAGGTCTCAAAAATGGCCAGCGCTATCGAACTTAACGGTGAGAGAATAAATTAGGGAGGGAGTGGAGTTGTTTGTTTTCTGGTGAAAACATTGGGTGATTTCTACATGTTATTTTGATTGTGTGTTTGCATACGAGGCGTAATTGGAGAATTGCCCCTTAGTTGGAGGATGATTGTGGCCGGCATTATTGCAGTATTACTGCGTTTTTCACTTTTTTCTATGGTGTTCCAAGCCCCATTATTAGAGGAAGCATCTTTAAGGGATGGACGAGGCATAAGTTCCATTGAGGAAACAGTGCATTCCGTGTGACCGCGTGGAGTGAGGCGCCGTGTCATTGGTGGATGAGGATCCGCTTCCGCGTGTGGCTCTTTGGGTGATTGCTTGCTCGGTGTGCGTTGTGTGTTGGCTGCGGGGTTGTGGCGGCATCTACCGGCACCCGGACCAGCCGCGTCGTGCCGGGACACAGTTGTTGCACCACGAGGTCTGGGGGCACGTGCTACCGCGGTGCGGGCATTACGATTTATTTGCGAAAGCACGAGGGAGGACAACAGAGGCACAACTGTGCGTGCTGTAGCAAGTCGGCACTGATGCTCTTTTACCTTGTCGGCACTGGAAACTGGGAGAGTGCGCCCTGCGCCTATTGCCATGCACTCTCATAGCCACGTTTTGAATGGAGCGTGCTGTTTTTTCTTTGAAGCGGTCTCCGTGTGTCAACGCGACAGGGGAACACGGTTGGCGGTGGCAGGAGTTTTTCCCGGAACGGCACTGAAGTGCAGGGTTCCCGGAGTGGGTCGCTCGCCGAGGTGGGGACGGTGCTCAGGGATTGCCCCGAGGCTGCTTCTCAATGCCGTTGTGGTTGTTGACGGCCAATCGCTGATGGGAGAGCGAGAGATAGTGTGCTGTCGTGTGATTTCTCACAGTGGCACCCGTTGGAGCGATGCATGTGCGTTTACCTTGCAGATGTGGTGTTAGGGATCTTTATTTCACGCTGTTCGGTGCCACTGAAGTGGACGGAGAAGTGATGCTGTCACGAGCTGCACGGGCGGGGCGGACACTGTTACGCGAGCCTGTGGAGGACCCGAACAAATCCAAGTGTACCGTGCGGTTTGGGTCTACAGGGAAGGAAGAAACAGTGGGCGGCTGAGGGGAGTTGCAATGCACGCGGCTGCGGAAGATGACGTGCGTTGCTGAGTTCACGTTGACTGCCACTTTGGGTGCTTTTTCTCGAGGCCGTGAATCCTTCCTAATTTACTTGGAGGTGCTTGATGACGCCAGTTGTGGAAGGCATTTTCATTTCATGCGAGGATGGCGCACGGGAGAAAAGGAAGAAAGAGAGCGACGCCTTGCCCAAAAAGCGGCTGCTGGAACGTTGACGAGACACGGGATTGTTTGCACGGCCAGCTGCATTTCCCCTGCAGGATGTTCCTTGAGGCGTTCATTGGCGCGAGTGTGAGTTGCACGCACGGGCAGGCACCGCAACAACCGTGTCGTTGGATCCCCGTTGCACGAATGAGACGGCGCATGTCAGGCGTGGCAGGTGACGTCCCCTGCGAACCTCCTCCCTTCTCTGTTTTACACCTCGGCATTTTCTGCGCTGTGAAAACCGCTCCCATTGGCCGTCTTCTGTGACACGAGAGCCGCCTGTATTCCTCTCCGTCGCATTGCAGAGTCGTGAGGAGGGCTTGAGGCTGCGTTGAGGAGCCGTGTGGCCTCTGCGAGCATGTCCTCTGTTTTTCTGAGGCGTTGAATTTTGGATTACCGAAACGCCACTTGAGTGCTTGCGTTAGAGGCACACATAACTGACGGACAGGCGTGTTTGTGGAGGTGAAGGAGGGCCACGCCATTGGGAGGAGGAAGAGTGAATGGGCGGGTTGGTGTGTCTGTGGCCCACATGTGGTGCCCGAC